CCACTAGGTCTCTTTTCAGATTGAGAGGTCAGAGTCCCACAGGGTTACCAGAGCTATTTAGGGGTTCAGGCACTTGGGGGTGGCACAAATCCTGCGGGGGGATGCTTAGGGAGTGAACCAAAGGTGGGCAAACAGAGGGATCACAGTGTCTTGGGGAGAAACAAGCAGGGGAAAGCCAGGGCTATGGCGACAAGAGGGACAGGTCACCCCTGAGTGGGCTGCAGGTCAGGTTGTGACCACAGGGAGTACAAAGCTGGACTAGACAGCAAACTGGTGGTCTGGAAACCATGAGTGTTCATGGTTTGGTCTCTAGGAAAAACACAGCTGAAGGACCAGGCTGCTGGAGAGACCAGGAGGTCCAGGCTGTCTGCCAGTGAGAGCATGGGACCTGGGTGTCAACTGGGAGCACCCTGTGTGTACATTTGAGAGATGGTTCTGTACCAGCACCTGGACCTGGCTGTGACCTTGGGGCCCATATGCCCAGCTGCCAGCAGCTGGGGAGACTGAGATCTTGTAACTTCTACACAGCTTGCTGCAGTGTTTGAGCCCTGTGCTGGCGACTATTGCACTTAACATGTGTGTGTTTATAGATGTCCCAATAAGGATATGTGTATGTGCAATGTGTACACAGATTTTTTTTTTTTTTTTTTTTTTGTGCCTGTTCTCTACTGGGTATAATGCTCAGCCTCACTACTTGTTGGATCTGGGGACATGAAGATGCAACAGCCTCACCTCCATTAGACCACCAGACTGACAACCCCTAAAAGTATCCAGCTGACTTTTTGCCTTTGAAAAATCACCCCATAGTTCTATTTGACTTGATCAGATTTTAATCATAGAAATAAACAGAATTTAAAAGGTGGGATCAATTCCAGCTTTGCAAAAATTTTGGTCACTGGTAGCATCTGTGTTTTACAAAGGCTCCTGAAGTGTTCAATCCGGTTATCTGTGATATGTACACTTGTAACTTATGGCAGCAGCTCTCTGGACACAGAGAGCAACACATCCTAGGGAAAGGCTGTAAGAAGATCAGAGAAATGAATGAGAAACAATTCTTATCTTCACTTGGTGCACCAGTTATTGTGAACGTGTGGAATGTGTTATGGAGATTTTTTTACCAAAAGTTGATTTCTTAATTAGCTAATGGTGATGGTGTTTGGATTGGAGAACAAATTAGGTCCACCTGTATCATTACTGTCTATAAAAGCAATGGGTTTCTTAATGAGTATAGCATAATAAAGAGATTGATCAGTCTTCTGTGAATCATGGAGTCAATGCTAATTATTACCTGGCTGGGGGCTGGTGGCAACAGTAACTGGCTTCAGACAAATTCCTAATGTTAAATCAAGAAAAGATTTATTTATATGAAAATAATATTTGATAATATTTCTGACTTTAGGAAAACCATAAAACAGGAGATAGAGGATGGTAGTAGGATGTAGTTGATATTCACTTTTGCAAGCTGAGTTGTATAATCATCTAATCGGACTTTTTCATATTTTTCATCTGTGTGGCTACCCTGAAATTAACTCAAAATATTCTAACAAAGAGGCTCAAATAAGGCACTTTACAATGAAGTTATTTTCATAATACTCTAAAAATCTTCCTCAGTCATACAGTGAAACATTCATTAAGCTGATTAACCTGGACTGATCTGCCCCTACGTAGCGCTGAATTGTTCCTGACGCTTTCTGTTCTTCTGGAGGTATTGGATCATTCAGACTCAGCAAATGCTATTTATACACAAATGCCAGAGTAATTTTGCCAGTTTAAACCAACTATTAGAATATATTTTTTCTGTTGCTGAGACAGAATGGTGCCAGGTGGGTAACTGAGGATTGAAGCAACTTCATTATAGAACCTTGTAGCTGGGACAAATTCTGGGTTCTCAAATAACAGAGATGTTAAAAAGCAGTCCTGGTGACCATTTGCTTTGAATTCATGTACAGTGATATTGTCAGAAGCTTATGACAAATTCTATGAGTGTCAACAAAATAATTAAGTCAAACAAATGGTGTCTCCCTGTGCTTGGGTAAGATGATGTTGCTTAGAAATAGATCCCTTTTATGATGTTTCTATTCATAAGTAGAATTCATCAGACATACATTTAAATATTTAATAATTACCTGAATAGAAAGTGAAAGCAGCTGTAATCTATTTAAACTACTGAATAACCACTAGCACTGGTGTGTACTAGGAGGATGTATGGGGACAAAAATTTGTACTATCATGTAAAACCAGCAATCTAGAAATACAATATTATAAAAAATTTTCTGAGTGAAAGTAAATTCCTTTATACATTACAATATAAATTTTAGTCACATTGATTTAAAAACATACACCATTGAATAATAATCTTTTATCTCCCTTACTTCCCCATTAAACCACAATATTACACTTGATACTGAAACAGCAATGGTGTTTTGCTTCTCTATTTTCTGTCAGTGGTCCAAACACAGATGCTGCTGACAGATTACACAGCCTTTACACTTCCTTCTCCGCAGGCTAGTGTTTCTATATTATTTAAAACTCAGAAAACAAGCCTTGTATTGAATTGCACACTTAGGTCATATATCAAGGTAGCAAAAATTGTGGTACTGTTTTTCAGCTCATTACATGTTAAATTACTGACACTCATGGTTGTGGACTTCATGCTGGCATTTGACAACAAAAGAGACTGGTTGCAGTCCAGGTGAGATAAGAGCTAGACAGTTGGTCCATTAATCAAGTGAACAATTTCAGCTTCACAGAATACTAGCCTCAGATGGTCTAAATTGGCTTAGTCAGTGGAGCTCTGCTGCCTCACTCCAAGGTCATGACTCCCATTTTTTATCTGGTTTGTTAGCTGAGACAGCCAATGGGTTAAGCTACACAGGGAGAATATTTTATTTTAGTGCCAGACACCTGCAGTTGACTTCAAGTGATGACACAATTTTTTACTTTGTTCACAAATACCAGTATTCCTAGGCTGGAAAAGCCTAATTTGTCTTGGAACACAATATTATCTATCCTATGCTTATGGTATTGTGAATTGAATCCTTTTGACTAAGTGGTGTCACCATGGTAGAGACCTGAAAGAGTGGTGTTGTGACCTCCTTTTCACCTCTATTGACATCTTCATTCATATATTTAGAAGTTTTTAAAATCTAAGCTGTCTCTAGTTCAAACTTCTATACATATAAATCAGTAGGTACTCACCCTATTTGCTACAAATAATTCTCTCTGAAGCCAGCACCTTCATATTTAAAGAGACATCAATAGATGTCTTAAAGAGAGATCTGTGGGAATGCAGGGACAACCAGATGTGTTCTGCGCAAGCCGTTTCATGTCCATATCCAGGAGCCTGCCTGGCCCCTGCCAGGTGGGGGGGAGCTCAGGCAGCTGCCCAGTACACATTGCTACTCTTCTGTTGCTGTCGAGGCAGGATGGGAATGAAGGGACTCTGACTCAGAAGGCTGTGAGAGTAAAACTCTGGTTTATTCAAAATACGCTGCTCTTTTATAAAGAGCTTCGTGAGAACCAACTCCATTGGTTCTGAAGTGAAAACAATCTACACCATTGGTGCAAAGTGCTTGACGCACAGTGATAGAACTTAACTATAAACAATGTGAAAAACAAGAGAGATAAAGAATTATTTACATTCTTCTCCAGCTCTTTCCCAGGCTTTTGCCTGGCTAGAAATTCTCAGTTTCTTTCTTTGACTGAATCTGAGTCCCACACTCTTCCTCTGGGGCAGAGCTGTCATGAGTAGAAGTGTTCAGGCACAGGAGGAGGTGCATGGATAGAGGAGGATTTGGAAAGCTGCAAATCTCCAATAAAGAAGGAAAAATGGCCAGCTGACCTCTGCCAAGCAGCTGCAAGGTTGGTACATTCATTTCCTGCTGATCATGGAGAAAGTCAGCTGCCAAATCAGCTTCTGGCTCTTAAATTTGCTGTGTGAAAACTGTACCCCTGAGGTCTCTTCCCAGACCCTCTCCACAGGTCTGAAAACAGCATTAAAGCTCTTTGTTATTGTTCATTCTAAAAGGAAATATCAATATTAATTTCTTCTTTATTAATTTCTAGCACTCAGAGTGCCAAAAATAGATGTAATTCCCCCAGCAATGGGCATGACCAGGTATTGCATTAGACTGAGTTTTTACATCAAGTACAAAACCTAATTTTTGTTTTTAAAATAAAAGGGTGTTGTTTGGGGAAGCACACTTTGCCTTTTCCTCTTACAGTTACAACATGACATGGTGAAAAGGCATGTGATAAAGAAAAACAAGAATCTGCATCAGTTTATTTTGTAAACACTATTGTTTGATATTTCATTTCACGTGGATAAATTTTTGAATTTAGTGGAAATTATAAAGACTAAGTTCTATCACTATAATTGAGTAATTGTGTAAGTTCTATCACTGTAAGTGAGATGCAAAGATATTAATGCAAACAGTCTTACCTTTGGTTTTCTAGCTAAATGTTTCTCATGGTCACTATGACAAATATCTACACTGATATATTGTGTTAATGGCCCAGGATGGAAAATATTTAATTTAGAAAACTGAAACAGAGAGAGAACCAACCTGGCATCACTATCATAGTAACAAGGAAATAAACTGTGTCTCCAGGTTTTTACTCTGGTTTATAATGGAGAACACAATTATTATCTGGACAGACTGCTGCAACTGTGGTATCTGCCAGGCCAGTGAAGTACTTTACAGAACCTTACTTTAATATAGTTATGTATTTTTATTTGTATGATATGAACAGGAATGTAACTTCCTTTTTTCATACAGTATTCAGTCATATAAATGGTGGAATGAAAAATGAACTTTCTATATTGAACATTACTCATCAGCAGAACTTTTTAAGTATTAAATATGTGTTTTGGGCTGTACAATCAGAGCACAGAGCAGTTACATTACAATTAAACATTGCAAATACTTTCAGACATCTGAAAAGCTATTTGATTTCAGAAGAACTACACTTTTTACTCATTATCTAACTTTTGTTATTAGGACATTCCAGTGTATCCAGTGAGAATCGGATCCTAGAACATCAGGGTAAGTGGTATACTTATATGATTTTTTTTTAATTCATCACTATGTGACGAATTCTGAAGCTTCCTTGTTTAACTTACAGATTGATTCCATTTCTCTGTTTTCTTATAAAATGAAATTATTTTTGAGATGTGAAAAATAAATTTTTCAAATGAAGCCTGAAGTGTACTTGGAGAGTTAGCAAAAGGCATATGCATATTCATGTCCTCATTCAGTTTGATTTACTTGTGTATTCCTTAGCATAAAATGTTGGACCACTCAGCAAAAATTACCTAAATATGGTGGGGTCTCACATATACTGATAATTTGACATATTGCTGCTGAAAAGTCAATTAAATGAAATGTCATAGATGAGTATTTTTACTGAAAAATGCACTGAATTTGAAAGATATTAACTTAAGATTCTTCACTAATTAAATCATATTTAGGTAAGAAGTGACTGACTGTCCACCTGTAATACAGGTCCTATTCATAATACACTCAGAACCCAACATGAAAATTAATAATTCTCACTGGTTAAATATATATGTCTCTAACTTGAACATAATTTCATTTTTATTGATTATGTGTGACAAACTACACATCTGGTGATGTATAATATTGATCAGACATTCTCTCAAGCATAATTGGAAAAAAAATATTATTTTTGTTGTTACATAGTCTTTAATAATAATGATAATAATAATAATAATGATAATAATAAATAATTGACCATTGCTGATCTGAATGTCTTGGCATCTTGCCTCATAAAACCAGCATGCTCCAAATTTCAGTCACCTTTGAAGAGCAAAACTCTTGACTTTGATTAGAATCGGTAGGAGTCTCAGATAGAATGTTTTGGTCTACCAGTTTTAAAGATATGGGAAAGGTTAATATCTGTTTGCAGTGGTTACTACACAGCAGTGTCAGAGAGAGCCTTGAGAAGATATAACAGAAATACCATCATAGCCAGAGGCAGTTTGACAGGGGACCAGGGATTAAGCCAGTTGCTCAGCTTGTGATTGAGAGAGAAAAAAAGATTCACTTCCTCAGCTTTTGTGTCCTTGCTGTGTCAAGTTTCTTGATAACTGGGGAATTTTCTGTGCCTTCAGGTAACCCCACATATCTGTTTGGAATAACAGAGAGCAGAAGCTGCTGTTGTGAATATACCTGGGGACACTGGTTTTCAAATGCCTTATTCTGATAGACTGATGGAATACATCAGCTCACTGTGATGCACAGCTGTCACTTATATCCAAGTGCTTGGATGACAGTCTTCTTGCCACTCATATTAGATGGACATAGAGAGACAGTTATCAGAAGTATTTTCATTAAGTATCCTGAGGCCTGAGTGAAAAGAGGTTCATTTTATTACAAATGAATGAAACTGAAAAGCTGGCAAAAAATTATGAGTCTTTATTTTTTCCTTTTTTTTTTTTTGCCAAAATAGACAATCTGCAATTAAACATACAGACAAACAAAAAATTATGAGTCTTTATTTTTGCTTTCTTTTTTCCCAAAATAGACAATCTGCAATTAAATTTATAGACAGACAAACAAAAAAAGATGACACACAGAAAGCTACAGAACAGAGTCAATATGACTTAAGGATTACAGTGGCCTTGATTTTATAAATACATTTCCCCAAAATATAAGCTTCTGCTCAAACACTTGCAGATAATATATAGCCCTTTCTCTCTTTCAGAACCATTTCACAGTGAAGATTTTATTTTTGCAGCATTTTAAAGCCAATATCTGAAAACACAATCCTTTCTAGAGTTTGCCTTAATTTCATGAAGAATGTGATCGTATATGAACCATAACCATCTGAGGTGAACTATAAGATGGAGGGAAGATTAAGCTTCACAAGGTATTAACTCAGCCAGGCCTCCAACATCTGAGAACCAAAATTACTCTATTTACAGAAAATTTCATAGAATGTAAAACTTTATTAAAGTATATTTCATTGCTTTTATTCAATAGATTTCCTTTCTGTGGAATTTGAGTTTGAGCTTGGCTCAGGTCTAGTTAATATTCAAGTGCAGCAGACATATGCCTTAGGTCATGTGCAGGCTTTGTAGCCTTGCTTTGGCTGACAATATATGTATATGTGTGCAAATAGCAGCCTGAATAAATACAAAGTGCATTTAAGGGTAATTGCCCAAATATTTAGAAAGCCTTTGACAAAGAGAAGAATGAGAACAGGTTAAAGTCAGACCAAAAATTGCTTTTTCACATGCCTACTACCAGGGCAATCTTGGACGTGCCCCTAAAGGAGGCAGAACAGAGTGGCTAAAGGCTGGCATGGTGAACTTGGAGAGAATAACGAGCACAAACCAGTCGTTTGTGTGTGCTTTGAGAAACACTAATTCAGAACTACACTCTCAGGATTTCTAAGGATTCAAGTCTGCATTAGTGTGTGTGTAAGATGACTGTTTCATGATTTTTTTTGTTTGTTTTTATTTTTAACAGCGATTAAGGCTTTCAACCAGGAACATTCCCAGGAGCTCAATATCAGATGATCTGCTTCCAAAGACAAAGCTGTCCTTTCAGCAGAGCTATGTGCTCCCTTCAGCAACAGTGTTTTCTTATTTGAAAAGTAAATTAAAATGGTCCTATTTTTGAAACTTATATCTATTTATTTAACAGCAGTTGTGTTGCTACAAAAATCTGTTGAAAAGCTAACTAGGTTCCTTGCAAGCAGGACAAATACAGGCTGTGTGAACTACACATTTATATATAAATAGCTCAATTTTGTATATATAAACTCTTCTTCAATGCTGTTAAATACTATAATATACTTCTCTCTGGTATCTATGTGTGTTGGGCATATTATGAAAGGGAAAGCATGAGAGAAAAAATGCTAATGTCCTTGTAAAACATTTCAAACAAAGGCAATCTTCCCTTATTGCAGCAGTCTTTAGGAAGGTTTTATGGTCACTGTGCATTTTCTTTCACCCCATGTTAAAATAAAAATATGTAGAGTCTGGTGTTCCATATTTTCACCAGCTGATGCTGGTGAAAATGCTAGCTAAGTAAACATGCACAAATTCCTAAAAACTACTCCTAACTTGCAAAAGGTAAAATGAATGAGGCATTTTAAAACTGATGCAAGGTACTCAGACATGTTAATAGCTGGATGCAATTTACATGTAAATAAAATTCAGTGCTTGATATCAAATCTCAAACCATGCAGTCTTCTACCATCCAACACTAATTAAACTTATTAAAATGTAAGCACAAGGGATGAAGAAACTAGACGGGCACTGCACTATAACTCCAACATGCATTGTTTTATTTGACATTTTCCCTTCTAGACCTAAATCCTGACAGTAGTCGGTGACAAGAACAGAGTAATTTTATCTTTTTTGGTCCAAATAGAGTACATCAATGCTACTGGGAATAATGTCTTGCCCAAGGCAAATTCTTGGGATGGCAAAACCCACACATATTACAAAATAAGAAAAAATACAGTATTTGACCAGAACAAAAAAAAATCAGGTTAGAAAATACTTATTAATATATATTTATTATGAAAAATGATCCCTTAGTTTAGCAGTTTCTGCATGGATTCATTATTATAGAAGTCCTGTTGAATACATATATATATATATATATATATATATATACATATATATATATATATATATACACACACATATATATATTTAAAATAAGATGAAGTGTTCAGATTTATGCATCTTGCTCATCTTGCTGTACAGAGTTTATACAAACAAGTGCTTCCAAAAAGCAGAAAGCAGTCATCTAGCCATTCAATTCTTCTTTACAGTCCCAATGTAAAGCAGAAGCCAATTTTGCTGCACAATATCAAAATTCAGGAAATGAAAGCTCTTAAAATAGCATATATATCACATTTAGTCAATCTTTGAAGTCCAAACCCAATAAATTATAGTTGCCAGCTGATGCTTTTAAAATAAGTTCTGACAATGTGTTTATGATAATGTCATGATACTTGCTCTTAGTAAGTTAAGCACCTCTTCTCACACAGCTTTCACATACAGTCTTACATTGTGTGACTGGAATAGCAAGAAAATACTACTGCTAAGGAAATTTATGTAAAATTTATTGACTGTTACACTTTTGTTAGATTTCATCAAGTATGAAAGCAATTCGAATGTTTTCAACCTCTTGCTACACTCTTTCTTAAAACCAGTATCATTTTAGTCTTCTAAAAAATCATTAAAAGTATTTAGACAAAAATTGTTATACTGACACCAAAATTCTTCCAAATAATCTGACGACATGCAATTAAATCCCTTAGATAAAATAAAGCCCACTGAACACTCCAGTAGAGATTTTTTTAAAGAAAACTTTCAAAGATTTGCTCAAGGACATTTCCACAATCACAAAACATACAAATAACTTATTTGGTTCTGCCTCCTCTTTAAGTCATAATCTTTTGTTTATGTTACAGTCTTTCTGTAACAGCTGACATGATGCCAGAATCACTACTGCAGGTAAAGAAAAATCAAGTATTTGAAGAGCTTCTAAGTAATGCTAGGAAAAGAAAAATATTAAAAAGTCCACCACTTAAGAGTTTTCTGGACATTGTGTGTGAGAAAAATTGGACTTCAGATACTTCTTTTTACAGTACTTACCTTTTCAAACATGGAAAACAGATTTGCATTAGCATTTTCACAGATTTGCATATGCTTTCATTTATATTTTTGTGCACTTTTGGTATTTACTCTTGGTGGTATTTATCTACATAGTAGTAACATCCTTTTTTCAGGATTATTAAATAAGATAACTTGTGTCCAATGAGCAGACATTAAGATTTGAACCTAATACAAAGCAGAGAAAGCAAGAAAATCTTCCAGTTAGATAGACCTGAACCCATCAAGTAGACCTGAACTCAAAAAGGGGAAATGACTGGTCTTTAAATAAAGAAATGTCTATAGAACTAAGCCATCATAACATTATAATACTTTTTAATATTCTAGGCACACCATGTCTAAAAGTGTCCATTTATCTAAAAATGTTATTGCGAATTTGTATATATCTGGCTGTCATAATATTTTCTAATTTTGGTTCACTTTTGGCCGGAAGATGGACATTGGAATTCTTCAATAATGTTAGTAGCTTAAAAATACTAAATGTATTTTTATTTTCTTAAAGAAAACTAAGCTACATCAGATAAAAATCTTTAGTATATGAGTTTGCATTTTAAGGATAACAATAGATGATCAGACTAATATCTGTGAAGTGTTATCACATAGATCCAAAAGCAAAAGTCATCTGTCCCTCCTACAGGATATAGTCCCAAAGGCTTCTCCAGCATGGGTACTTCCCATGGCGTACAGTCCTGCAGGAAAGGTCCATGCTGCAGTTTTCCACTGTGGGTCACCCGTGGGTCGCAGACAACCTGTTGCATGGGCTCCTCTCCTTGGTCCACAACTCTTATTAGCAGTCTGCTCCTGCAGGGCATCTCCACAGACTGCATCTTCCCTCAGGGCCCATGAACCTTCTCTGGATCCTCTGCAGGCTGCAGCATGGATACATTCCACAGTGGTCCTTCATGGACTAATTCAACTGCCTTCACCATGATCTTCTCCATAAGCTGCAATGGCACCTGGACTCACCTCCACACCTTCCTTCTTCATTCATCTTGATGTCTGATTAGTAGTTTCATATCTTCCTCACTCCTCTCTCAAATAGCTGCTGCACAGTGATTGTCGATAATGTTATTGGCTTAATAATAAAAACTTATTTTTATTTGCTTAAAGAACATTAACCTCAGTTACACCAAAAGCATTAGCATACTTGCTTTTCTTGAGTATGTTATCATTCTTAATTAAGTTATAACACACCCATTATTAAATATTTTGTCAGAGACAAAATCTGTGTCACCAATGGGTTGTTTTAGACAGTGGTGGCTCTGGTTTGAGCCAGCTGAAACTGGCTTTTTCTGGTATCTCTATCCCCGGTCTCTTCTCACAGATGCCATCTTTTGCTTACAGAAAATTCACCATGTTAATACACCCTTCAAAATGCTACATATGTCTTTGAACCTACTGAGAGAAAGGGGGAATATGAAATGAAGTTCTTCATGCTCTACATTCAACCTCCAGAACGTTGCAAGAAAAATTGCCACTGAGAAGCAACACCAGCAGCCCAGCTTTGAATGTGACTCTGCCAACATGCTGGAAGTTAGATACACGAATATTTATCATTCCTAGGATTTAGTGGATTTACAAGTAGAAACCTTACTAGAGGTGTTTGCTGAGCTTTACTGTGACTCTGCTCAGATTTGTAAAAATGAGCTGGATTTTCCCATACTTAGACCCTTTCCATGTTTGGAAAATAAGAATTGTAAACTGATAGCATGTGCAGTTTTCATTCTTTCCAGCAAAGTGATTTTAAGGATCAAAGTTCTTTACTGTGATGCTGAAATTCTCCTTCTCCTTCCTGCGTTTTTGGAGCAGTGTCTTAGTCTGTAGGATTAGTTTCTTTTTTGTCTGGCCTAGATCACATTCCTGCAGGGAGTACATGACAAATTTAATAATTTTCCCCAGCTTTGCTTAGGATTTGGACATGGGGGCAGCTTCTAACACTTATTCAGTGTTACACTTGGACAAAAGTAAATAAGATAATCTCTTTCAAAACCTGTGACAAGAACAGTTTATAAACTAGCAAAATGTAAAAGCAAAGTCTACGTATCTTACCAAACTAATGTTTCTACCCCTCTGAAAAAAAAAACCAAACCACCAAACCAAAAGAGAAAAGTAAGGAGAGAGAACTGGTCTAATTTTTGAACTATCGTTTTTCATTATATTAGAGGAAAAAAAAAATGAACAAATTGAATGAAATTAAACAAAAATGAACAAAAATGTACAAATGAAAAAATTAACAATATTTTTCATACAGTAAAACTCACCAAGAAGACAAAGCAGCATAAATGGAAATTAAATATTCAACCTGAAAATCTTTTTCTTTTACACATGTATAATCAAAATAATAAGACTCATGAACCATTCCCTTCCCTTCCCTTCCCTTCCCTTCCCTTCCCTTCCCTTCCCTTCCCTTCCCTTCCCTTCCCTTCCCTTCCCTTCCCTTCCCTTCCCTTCCCTTCCCTTCCCTTCCCTTCCCTTCCCTTCCCTTCCCTTCCCTTCCCTTCCCTTCCCTTCCCTTCCCTTCCCTTCCCTTCCCTTCCCTTCCCTTCCCTTCCCTTCCCTTCCCTTCCCTTCCCTTCCCTTCCCTTCCCTTCCCTTCCCTTCCCTTCCCTTCCCTTCCCTTCCCTTCCCTTCCCTTCCCTTCCCTTCCCTTCCCTTCCCTTCCCTTCCTTTCCCCTAGTCAAAAAGAATAAGATATAATCAGTAAGTTCTGAGATTAATGATGCAAATAAGCATGTAACAGTGTCACTGGTTAATTTTGTTCATGTTCAAATAAGTAGTGAATTTAATAAATTATAGAAATTTTATAAATACTGAGGGAAAATTTAGAATTCTTACATTATCTTATACTCAATTATTGTTATTATACAATAAATACAAATTATTGAACAAAAAACCCTTTTATAAATATCTTATGATTCTAACCAGTCACTCTAAAATGAGTTCAACTTGTGCAGGCTTGCAGAGGGAATTAAAGTATAGTAGGAAAGAGATTTTATTTCATTACTTGGGGGAAGTAATAATGCAAATGGGCAGTTTTGGGCCCCCTTCAAATCAGCTCTGGTTTATTCTTGTGACACAGAACTCATACCCAGCAGCACAAGCATAAGCACAACCACTCCAAATTTCATCTCTATTCATGGAAACCACTTCACAGTTTTCCTATGAAAGTATCCTAGCAGAGACACAGACCAAAGCACAGGGTGATTCCTTTCCTTTTTAGAAGGTTATAAGAGACTATAAATCTGTAATCTGACCTTCTATCAAACTCACAGAAATAATATTTAAGCAGAATTCTCACGTAGGATGACCAAGACACTGTTTATTTCCAAAAGACTAATTGCTATGACTTATAGATCTTGAATTAAAAATATAATTTTTCTATTATCCATACTATTGGCTTAAAAATGAAACTTAATAGAAGCTTTAAAGCAAACAGCAAGTTATTTGTAGTTATATATAAACAGATATATTTATATAACTTAACAGAATGAAGACTCTTAAAGAAAATGAGTTAATTTGAGGAAGACATTAATTATTAATTTTTATGTTCATTTTTAAGAGTGTGGTGGAATTTCTGATGGGAGTGAAATACAGAACCTGATGACTTGGACCATGGGAGACTGAGAGCAAATGGGAGAGGGTTGATATGGAACAAAGATTTGGGAAAAACACACCTTTCTGATAAAAATCTTTACTGGGTTCTAGCACTCAAACTGAAATAGATTAATGGAGCAACTCTTTTGAAACAACCAGATTAATGAGAATTTTTCTTATTATGTATTGTCTGTGTACTTCAGAGGACTAACTTTACTATTAATTCTATGTTGTCAGGGCACAGACTAGGAATCTTTGGACTATGGGTGAAGATACATGAGTCACAAATGTAAGATTTCTCAAACAGAGCTCCAAAAAAACAAAATATTTTTCTTTTCCCCCAGTGGAATGAATGTGTTACATGTGACTCAAGTAAACCTACCATGAAGGATATATTATAAGGAACATTCTGTTACTAGTTTTACTCTTGGTGTAGAAAGAATAGGATTCCTTATTATGTCTTAGTTTGATTGAATTGACCAAATAAGAAACATTCTTTTCAAAGAGCTCTCCAGCCAAAACTATTTAATGCATCCTTAAATACTTCAGAACTGACAGGTCAGTCACAAGGAGTCTTCTCTGTAGAGCAGAGACTGTGAAGTCTTAAAATCTGTAGATTAAGCAATAGAAAACAGAGCTGGCAGCCAGCTTTTTTATAACAATAATTAACAGCTCCCTAGGGTTCAGTCTGACAACATGTTATGTCAGTTTTTACTGATGCTTGTTAGATGGCTATAATATTGAGGGAAACAAACTGTGTAAACACCAACAAATACCTCATTATACTACATGTATAGCAAAATACAATGAAGCCCTCTTAACCTGAATAAAGAGGAGCTAGGTTGTCAAAAGAATGAATGCTTGCTGGTAGAATCTCTAAAGTATATCGTGGTAGTCTTTTCACTTAAAGTCAATTTAGTTGTGGCATGTTGTTAATACTCCTGTAGCACACCTTGCCAGCCCAGTGCTTTATCACTGCACAAAGTCAGCTGAGTGCTAAATTTTCAATATTAAACTCTTGTGGAGATAAACACGCTTGAACAGAGACCAGCCCTGGTGTTCCAGAGTTTACTTTGCCATTAATCCGCCACAGTGTAAATTCACTCCTAGGTAAACAAATGACCAGGAAAAATGTGTTCCTGGTGTGAGTGCTGAATATGGGAAATACTATTTTCTGCGGGAGATTGCATGAAAAACAAAAGTGTATAATACAGTTCATGATAAAAAACTCAATAGCATCGCCTCACCTGGGTGTCAACTCCAAATTCTAGTTAAACCAGTATTTTCCTTTTCTCATTGCATTTTACACACAGTATCAGATTTGGGAGTTGAGATATCATTCCTATAAAATTTACTTTTTACATAGATTTGAATCCAATCTACAAAATTTTCGTGAAATATCTTTTTTGTTTGTTTTAACTAAGACTCAAACTAGTAACTAGCTACTGCCCCATAAATTTACACTATTAAATAGGACCTTAGATATTTCCTTATCCTTACTTAGACAATTTTCTGAAGATATTAACTTCAACTGGTTGTGTGTTATACTTGTTAAAAATATATAGTATTTCTTCCACACAACTGAAAACTTTCTGTTCGACTAATGCTTGAATTGGCCTATTTTGTCATTAAACTTTACTGTACACATTAGAACTTGAAACTCTTTGACCCTTCTTCCAATGCATGGTGTCTATGCAAACAGGTATTTGTATGAATATTTTTCTTCTTCTCTGTCTCTCTGGGAAGAAAATACTATTTAAACACAGAATGAAAGAAATCCAAAGAAGTGAGAACATTTAAGATTATTATTATTACACATAAAATAAAATATCCCTCTTGTTTGTGGGAAGTTCAGTGTTAAGTAAGAAGGGACATGTGTTCTTATAATCTGCTTATTTAATCAGTTTTTAGAGGGGAAAATGAGTACCCAAAATATTGTTTAGTTAGCACTTTATGAATTGTTCCGAAATACTTTTTTTTTTTTTCCTGATTATTCACAAGCAGATCCTCAATCTCTGTCCTAACCAGTAATATAATCTCTCAAAATTAAATTACTTCATTTACTATGAAGCGTAAGTGTGAAACGTAAGTTCATTTCCTTTGATACCATTAAGCAGTGAGGAAGAAAAATAAAATCAAGTGGAGAAAACAAGTCAAACTAATTTATTTCTGTATAAGACTGTCTATACCTTGGGCAATCAGTGACTCAGTAGGAGAAGCTGAACATCGAGCAGGGAACTCAGTAACAGAGTGAGAAAACACAAAATGTCTCTAGGCAACTATTAGTTTGGCATATTGGCTTTGCAGTAGACAGTTACTATGTAAAATTCAAAGTAAACAGTGAAGGTATTTAATTTCCTTTCAAAGTTTATAATTTTTTTTTTTTTTTTTTTTTAACACCATAGCAGTGACTCAGAACTTTAGGAAGTCCCTCAAACCCTTGGCCTGCAGTATTCACTATCTACTGTGTAGACACAGAGTCCTTGTGCAAAACATCTGCTACAAGATTCATTCAAGAATCTCATCATAATTTTCTCTCTTGGCTTCTTTTTATTCAACAAGCATTAAATCTCTCTGTTTCAAGATACTTTCTCATTCAATAATGGGATCAATTTCAAGAAGAGTTCAAAAATAAGTGTTTAAATTCTTTTCACTAAGTATAAGAAGAGAGATTTGAAGAGGAGGAGTTTCAAACATCAACAATAAAGTCTAATATAGGGTAAGGGTTTACAGTAAAAGAGTAATTCCTGGTGTTAAAATCACATCATATCCTGATTCCTTCATTTATTTTTTTTTTTCTGTAAATGGGAACTGTGCAAGGCCTCTTTCTCTGTAACTTAATTATTTCTAAGAAAAACCAAAACCAATCCACAAATAATTCCTCTTCTTCACTGGAAACTATGAAAGGACTTCTGTTTAAGGAACATTTTGAAAGTGCATTCAGGGTGAATGAACATACATTTATTGATAAATACATTAGATCCCTCCCAAAACAAACAAATCATATCATATTCCAGTCATAATAATATATTCCTAGTTCTTAGTCACAAAACATTGATCTTCTCCTAGTTTTCTAACTTTTGAAAACTTCTGTAATTTTATGGGATTACCTAATGAGATCTTGATGCAGTCTAACACATCTGAAGATGTGAGGGTCTGAAACTCCTAACATATTATGATTATGACATTTAATTTTCTGCAATAGAAATCACACAGAACCTTATCCTATAATTGCCACAGTAAAATCTCCTCAGAAGCAGTGACAATACATGTGTAACTGAGAATGTGACACCATGACAATAGCATTTACATTTATAAATAAGGGTATAATTTTACTCTCAGTCTTCATTTAATGAAAGAACTGAAGCATCTCATTTTCATTCTCTTTGCTCTTGGAACTGATAAGCATGTTTCCACCTTATGCTGATTCTTTGTAGACAATATTTAAATTAAAAAAAGTAGTTTAAATGTGTCCTTGCAACTGAGACTCAACGAGAATAAAATAAATTAAAGAGAATATTTTTTAGACATAACTTTCAAATGCAATGTGAAAAAAACAGGTAATGTGTT